CCTTCTACCTGCAGGTTTCTCCACCTCATCGTGCAGTCCACCCAACACTCATTCTCAGCACAGAACTCTGGCTCTCTATTATCATTTTTTTTTCATACCTCTAATCATAAAATCTCCTCTATTAGCAAGTTTCTAATCCAAGACCATACTTTCAGCTGGCTACACGTCCATCACAGTCTCTTAGAGAAACTTAGAAAAGGCTATTTGAAAATCTGAGAACAGACTTACTGGAGTTTTGGGGGCCTTTTGTTTTCCACTAAAGATAGTTGCTATCATCTTCCAGCCAGCTGGTTTGAGCCTATCTGATGCAGTATCTCAGCTGCTCTTTTCTTATGCTCCTTCAAAGCACCAGGATAAATGCCACCAAGATTTGGTTCACTTTTTAGTTTGCTCAATAAACTAACATTTCACAGGATTTCCACCCCTGGCTTTCCGCAAAACTCGTAATGCATTGAATCTCTGATGATAGCCCTTTGTTATTTGTAGGGCTACACTGCAGGTAACAAAATTTATGTCTGTTCAATAATCATGCCTTTTTTTCAAAACATGCCGAAGCAGGTAAGAAACACTACAGAACGATAAAGATAATATAAATCAGATAATTAAGCAGAAACTCTCAGGATGTCACAGAAGGCTCATAAAAAGCCAATTGACTGCAATGAGATCTTATTTTGCTCGCAGCATCCTGTCTGCTTTTTTGAGAGGTTATGGCTAACTACAGAGTTTCCTTTTCCCCTGCCACAAGAGTGGTCTTAAAAAATTTGAACCATTAGGTCCTGAAGACTAAATACAGACACAGCACAAGAGGTGTGAGAGAAAAAAGGAAACAAACAGCTTGAAAACGTGGGTTAGAGACCGTATGGAGAGCAGCAGACAAAGAATCAGTTTACAGTTACTTGTTATCTGAGAATGTGAGAGGAAAAGGGGAAGAGTTAGGATGGAAACGGGAAATAGAAAAAACACATAATTTTTTAAAAAATAGTACAGAACAACTAAATTTCAGTCATTACTATATAAGACCCAGGAGCTCACTGGAATCATGCAGACTTTTCCCAACCCCCTTCATGTTTTTGATGGAGTTTGTTTTTTCTCTACAAAAAAATTAGGGCTTGCTATTTTCCTCCCAGTCAGTTGATACTAAAGGTATTGAATTTTCTCAGCATCTCATCTGCTGCTGTCTTGTGACATCTGTGTCAAAATAGTAACAGTAATACATATGAGTGTATCAAGCAGGCAGGAACAAGGGACCAGGAAGACCTGGGCAGTCATCAGCAAATGGAAGAGCAAGGAACAGGGCAGGCAGGTCTGCTGTCCATCAGGTGCTTGCTCTGCACACTCCTTCCCCTCTTTCAAGATGCAGCTGCTCACCTTTATCCGCCGATAGATGCTGCAAGGTGCCACAAGGTAAGAGCAGAGGTGAAGGCAGCTACTACAGAATGACCAAAGATGCTATCAGCACGACACCTGTTCACCTGCTCAACCCCAACCAGCAGTCTCGCACACACACACAATCTGAAAGGTTTCCCAGCCTCAGCCTTAAGCTTCTTGAAGCCATACTACAAGCACACTTACTTTCGAAGATGAGACAGAAGTACAAAAGATCAGGGTTTATATTTAAATTTACAACATACTGTTTAATACTGACATTTTTACAGGTCTTCTGGGATGCACTGTTCATATGGCATGCTTGCGCATTTGACAGCATCCTACACCTACTCAATTTAATTAAGCTTATTTCAGAAAGCTGATAAAGCCAGAGATAAACTATAAATACAGCTACAAGAACTGCACCAACTGAGCATTTGCTTTGTAACTGGAAGTATAGCTGAAAGTTGAACAGGAAATAAAAAAAGTTATGGTTTAAAAGTGCAAGCATCAGGGACAATGTGAGGACCGTATCCTCTCAGCTTGAAGTGGCAGATAAGGCTGAAAGAAAAGCAGAGGTAATTTACCCAGACGTCGGGAATGCCGTTGCACAAAACAGCTCACCTATGAGGTGAGCAAGGACAAAATTCTTGAGTGGACAAAGGAGCAGCTTGGGGCAAGCCTTGCAGCTGTCTCAGAAGGAATGCGCACTTTCCATAGGTATTAAAATCTGCTGAAACAGGTGAAAGGGGGAAGTAAAAAAAGACTTGATTCATAGGAAGCTGCATAGACTAAGAATACAGGAAAGTAAATGACTTGGCATAGGGGAAGTTTGAGGCAACAGGTCATGCAAAAAGGGACGAAAAGGTCACCGCAATTATGTATAGCCTTTTGGATAAAAGAATCCACTGATGAGTCTCTGGATGTACTTCCAGCAATGTTAAGATGTTGCCTCCAGCTGCTGGATGACAGCACATCCTGGATTTGTAAGTATTCATTGTTAGGATGTACACCCTGCATTTTGGGAAACTTTGCTTTAGAACATGCTCCAGCACTATTACTGCACACCCGCTCCCTTCTCCCAGGGGGTCACCATCAACACATAAAAGACAGCTTTGCAGAAGGCAGGCCCACATTAATTCTTTAAGAACTGTAAGCTGACAATCAGCTCAGGATTTCCAGTGAATACTCCACCAGAGTGGCCTAGAAAGCATCCGATTCCAGCTGACAGAGGTATCAAAGTTGCCAAGTTTGGTTTCTTAGGAGTAGACTACAACCACAGCGTAACAAGACAGACAGACAATGGCGAGCCATTTCGGGCTTTCATCCCAGCATACATTGTGCTTCTGCTTTACCACTTTCAGCCTTGGTATATTGGTCGATTTTTATTTCGCTCTTATTCCAGGCTCTGCTCATGTTTGCATTTTTTAATGCAAAATGTGTGCTGACCGTTTATCTCCCAACTGTCAATAAAGTGCCAAGACTGACCAGCTGCATTTGGGCTCATATCCACTCACGCTTGAGATGGTCTCACAGGTAAGAAAGCACCCCGGCACAGAAGGTGGCTTCCCCACGCAGCCTGTGAAGCCTGGAGAAGTTCTGGCTGCCTCACTCTCTGGAGGGCAAAGCAGCAGGACAGAGGGCAAAGCAATACCAACACAAAGATCTGCATTGTCCCAAGAGGCACACCTGCCTCCTCGTCTTCTGGTGAAGCAGTTGGAGACTGTCACTCTGGGAGCAGCACAGCATGGAGAAATACGCAGGATAAGTATGACGAAGGCAGCGTTAGTCTGGCACAAGATAAGATGCTCTGAAGTATGTGAACTCCATGACTTAATAGAACACGAAGTACTAAACTCAAGACACCTTCTCCACTCTGTTGGCTCCTTTTTTGTATACCAGTATGCCACTTGTTAAAAGAGATCGCATTAACGGCACCAATCAATCTAAAAAGTGACCCATAACACACACCTCTAACATCATTCTATTCTAAATATTTGAATAACAGAGTATTTTTCAAGATCCTACACATTACTGTTCAGAGAAAAAGAGAAAAGAAGTTGCATAAACGAATTGCTTTGAACTGTGTTATTAAAAGAAAGAACCTCTAGAAATGACCAGATGATGCAGAGGTAAAGCCACCTACAAAGCAAGACAAATTAGCATCACCCACTGATTGTTGATCCTGATGGCACTAGAGGCAAACTGGGAAGGGCTTTAGGGCAACTTTGTACTCACAGATTGTAAGCATGAAGAAAGAGCTGTAAGCAGAAAGAAAGAATTAAAAAAAGATAGATAGTAACGCAAGTTCAGAAAGAAAGAATTAAAAGATAGATAGTAAAGCAAGTTCCCTCTCTCTCCTCCTATTTTACAAATTTCTTCCACTATGGTGTAAATCCAGAGCATTGATTCTAATACTATTTTACTGGATTTCCATTTGTTTTGCCCAGGCTCCTACATTAATCCAAACAATAAGGGCCTTTAAAGCATTCATAAATAACCTGCTGCTGCTGGCACCTAGAAGCCAAGTGCAGCAATGTTAAGCAACAACAAATTTCATAGTTCAAGAGGCACAGTTAAGGAAAAAGGTTGCTCAGAAAATCACTCTCATTTAGCACAAAGATCCTTAAAAACTGCATGAAATCGGTCAAGTAACTATAGAAACCAATTTCTTCAGCTCTGTATCACACGTCTCACACCTCAATTGTCTTTATTATCGTCTGCTGTCAGATCCTTAATCAGAAATGTGAACAGGCTTGATGATTTATTCAGCAGGGAAAAGAATCTGTAGGTCAAGTGAAAAATTTCACACACACATACACATGCACACACATCTACAACCTTAGGTACTTTCATTTCATTCTGTTCCCAGTAGCTCTGGGGGCAACTCCAGTGAGATCCAATATTAAGGCTCAATTAAAATAAGCTCCAATTAGTGGAGCTTTTTTCTCTCAGGCTAGAAAAGTCAGGAAATGGATATTGGGAAATGTAAAAAGTCAGCTACTGAGAGGAGGCTGCAGACATAAATGAACTTATTTGTTGATTTCTACAGTTGCTATGCAGAGGCCTCTGGGAGTAAAAGCTTAACCAGTCTAAGCTATAAACTAAAACCCCTGCAGCTAAACATGAACTGTGTGAAACAAGGGCTCCATTCCAGAACAGAAAACTGCTGGGCCCAGAAAATTAAAAGCCAGAGGCGTTTTCCATTTAAAACTAAATCCCAGTACCGCCTCCCAGCCAAAGAATTATAAGCAGTATCAGATTTACAAAACGAACAATTACCCTGGAAAAATGTAGCCTATTGTACAGTCCCAGATGCTAAATCTCAAAGTTTCTCTTTTTTTTTTCCTTCTCCTTCTAATCCCACATTATATTCCTACCAAGTGTACTGCTGCAGTTTACAAAGGACCATTTCTAGACAGGACTGAAACTACGAAAATAAAATGTTAAAAAGGAGAGCTCGTAATTCATTGACCTCATTTGAAGCACTGCCCTTGCCTGTGGCAGTTCCTGTCCTTCCCCAAGGCCTCTGCAAATGGTATGCAGCAGCAAAATAAACCCTGACCTAATTGCCAGGACAGGGCTGCCAACCTTCTCAACACACAAAGGCAAGCATGGTAACTGGAAAGTCCTACCTCTTTTGCTTTCTGCTTTAACCGCAGTTGCTCTGGATCTTCTTTATTGGAACGGCTCTACCAAAGGAAGAGGAAAAAGATTGAATAGAAATTACTGGCATCCAAACACCATCATACCCGTTAAATATTTAATAAATGACAATTTTCTCTGGTGATTGAAAGATTTAGCTCCAGGGGTGAATGCCTCAATCCAGACTGGCTTCCCTCCCCCTCCACACACA